ATTCAAAATTCAAAAATAAATATTCTTTAGCTTTGAGACATGTTTCATGTACCCTAAACTCCTTTCTTTTAGATTACAGTCATGCATCTGCCTTTGTACCTACAAGCTGATCTGTGTTCAGCATCCTCAATATATTAGAATACTACAGACAGACTCGTGGCAATCCTCCTGCCTCAGCCTCCCAAGTGCTGAGATTACAGGCCTGCACCACCATGCCCAGCTGCCATTTTTTTTACACTTTTCTTACACAAGGCCAAGAAGCAATATTATTTTTGTTTTAACATAAGTAGTTTCCATTTTTATTTCTAAAGAGTGAACAGAAAGCACAAAGGGTTTTTCTTAATGGTCTACTAAAAATATTAACATTATTTTATACCAATGAAAAACTCTCAAGTTGTTGCACACAGGCAAAAATATGTATTGTATTTGTAAAACTAGTTTTGGTATCATTTTGATCAGCTGGAAACCTAGGTGGAAGCATGTCTTTAGCTCTAATGTCACTTAGGTATGAACCATCTTAAGTTATGGAAAAACATTTTAAACATCTAAAAGCCAAAAAAAAAATGAAGAGAAAAATTGTTGCTCTCAAACAAAACAGCTGTACATTTTGTAACAAATTGAACAAACTATAAACTAGATTGCACTCAGATGTATTTGGTGAAGTTGAATTTTTGTAGCTATTAATAACTTTTAAAGGTCAATTAATAGAGATTTCAGAAGGAATAAAAAAATTTACTCTGTGAAAGCAGACAGTTTTTTAAGACAATTCCTAGGCTGACAGTTTTGTCTGATCACCAAAGGCTCTCTTTGGAAGAAAGAAGTCTGTTACATTGTGAGGTGTTTATATACACTGAGATCTTTGTTGAAAGTCAGCTTCAGTGCCCCATACAAATTGAAACAGCATCCTGTCAGTAGGCTCAGTGCTGGGGCATTTAGGAGCACTTGTTTAAGCTTCTGGAATGCAGTTTGGGACTCAGGTTCCCTGATTAAAATATGGGTATCTGTCTTTTGGAGTGTTTTATAAGCTGATAGGTTGTGTAATCTCACTATACTCTGTTATCCCAAGGTGACAAAAGCCTGTAATTCCTAGGAATACCCTAGCTGTTTTAGAGACTTGGGCTGCAGGAAGGAAAGTATTGGTTTAATTTTCTCTTCCCCAATCTTTGCGTTCTCTTAGATATGAAAAGGCCCAAATATTTTACCTCAAGGCTGCAAAGGTATGTCAGATTTAGAAATCTTATAACCTCTGTTTGCTAGAAAATTTAGAACATGGTTGCCCTGGTTAGAGAGCTCTTCTGAGGGGATGCATAACAATATATTGTCTACATATTGTAAGACTGTGACTTGGGAAAAACTACATTATTTAAAA